AGACTGATGTGACTGGCTCAGTGTTCTCTGTACAGTACCACAGTATATGTGAGATCTATATCAAAGTAAAAAAATAGTGTGCGACTGTGGGGGGACATTAGAGTGTAAGCTCCTTTAGTGCTGGGGGAGTTGGGGGGCCAGTGAGATCCAGTTCCGGCCCACCCTCCCCCGAGAAAAAAATCTTGCACCAGGGCCCTGTGTTCCTTAGGTCCGCCACTGAGCTCACTGGATTTCTGGCTGGCCACCGGCAGGGGCCGCCCCTAGGCTGTAATTGGTCTTTAGTTTTTTGTGCCTAGCGTCCTTCTCCTGCAGGTGGCGATATTACCCTACAGTACATGATCTCCGATCTGTTCCCTGTGTCCTTCAATGAACGGGAGAGAAAGGAAGTATTTTTTATGTGACAGATATAACAAGCTGCTTTTAACTGTATATTTAGGAGACCAAAAAGGGAGAATAACCAAAGAGGTCCATTGTTGGGGTTACATACACATTATGGGTACTTATAAAGGCAGGAACCCAAACAAACATTCTCTGGGGGAGAATTACTGTCATTTAAAAAACACATGCACTTAGGAGGGAGAAAACCTGCAGATAACGTTTGCTAAATGTCAGATTCTCCGCTTTATAAATTTGCCACAGGAAGCAATTAACAAAAGAACATACAAAGTCAGTTTTTTTTCAAATACTAAAACTGTTTAGTAGAACAATTTGATCATACAAAATTATATTTTTACAAGAATTCCAAAAAAAAAAAATAGGAGAGAATATTGCTTTTAACAGAATTCGGAATTTGTTGGGCTCACATAGGAGCAGAGAATGAAAACAATTTGCTTGGCAGAAGACTATAGAAGGCAATTGGAATTATAAAAATATAACAAAGCCTGACCACATTCCTCCCTTTGCACCAATTTCCCCACACACATACAATCAAAGTCTAAACAGTTCTATTACTTCATTGCACTGTAACTGGCCAGAACATGACTGCCACTTTTTCATACCATTTTCATTACCTTCATTATGACAATTGTCCAGTGCCTGATGTAGTATAAACATACTGCATGATTAAAAAGGAACAAGCAAGAAGAACAGTATGGCAACTGCATCTGCTGCCTTGCTTTTAAAAGGTGAATGATCCAGGGGTGTAATTTTTATCCTTCAAAGCCAAAAGGTCAGTCACCCAGATCAGTTTTTAACTAGCAAAAGTGCACATGGTCTGGGCAATACACAGACTACCTACATTCCTCAGCACATTCTCCAGCTAGTCAGTACAAAAACCTAAACAAACAAGTTTAACATTTTAGGTTAATACATTACAGTTGAAAATACATGTAAAGCCACACTGCTGTGCCGAGACGACACCTCTAAAAAGTGTGGTCGCCGACTTTCTGGAGCACCCAACCTGGCAATGTGTAAACAAATGCTAGTAATACATTGACCTGAGTGGCTGCTTTTTTTGGTTTGTTGAATCTGGTGAAGAAACACTCTTGGACATCAGCTGCCCTGACAGCCTGGGATTCTTGTTTGTTGTATCATTGAGAATGTAGCTACCCCAAGGCATGCCTGCTCTCCATTTGTTCATTGTTGTAGTCATGTCTCAAGTTAGGAGCTCATTTGGTTTAGAGCAGGGGTAGGCAACCTTGGCTTCCCAGCTTGGCTAAAACTACAAATCCCATCAGGTTTCTGCCTCTGGGAGTCATGCCTGTGGCTTGGAAAGCCTTATGGGATTTGTAGTTTCAGCACAGCTCGAGAGCCGAGGTTGTCTACCCCCGGTTTAGAGTTAGGGACCACACTATACAGTGGTGCCTTGAGAAGCAGTGTGGCTTTACATGCATTTGAAAATGTATGCAACACAAATCTAACCTGATAAAAGTGTAACCTAAAATGTTAACAGTTTAAAATGTTTGTGTGCCGATGAGCTGGAAAAGGAGCGCTGGAGAATTTTTGCTTTGTAATGAACCTGTAACAAGGTAATGAAGGAAGGCAGAGGATAACCACCCTAAAACATGCATCTTTAAAAAGATAGCATTGGCAGCCCCACATTACTATCCTTACAGGTTCTCTGTAAAAGCTACTTTGATAACAGTAAATTCTTTATTCATAACTTAGCAAGCAGAAAATAAGGCTGCCAGGTTTGAGGCTGACGCAAGCAGAAAGGCCAGAAAAGGTTTATAGTCAATCCATTTTTTCCTCAAGAGACTATGGAAAACAAGCATATGACTAGCACCAACTACAGCAGTAAATAAATTAAATGTATTTTTCTATCCAGCCAGAATTGAAGGAAACATGTTTTGAGAGAAATATGGAAGCGGTCATTGCTGATCTCCTGCTCAAAAAGTTATTTGCTTGACAGTTTCTGGCTTTAATACTTCCTGACCCTGAACAACCATGCAGCCCAAGAAAAGGAGAAGTCTGGAGCTAGCATGACAGCCAGGGAGCTAGTATTTTTAAGGCGAGGTTCACCATAGCTTCCATCACTCCTCGGGTTTCTTTTAAGAATGAGTAGTTTATCATTCTATGACAGCCGTCTTATGCAGCAGCTGAAGGAGTTCTTCAGGAGACAGCCAGTTATAAACCAATAAGAGGAGAGACTTCTCTATGGGATTATCTATGGTTGCTATGGAATAACGTGCCAGTTTTAAATTAGCTTTGAAGATGTTTTTCAAGTTACTTACTGAGAAAATAAGCAGTATGCCCATAAAATCAGAATTCCGTATTTACAGTTGCTGGCTCAAAGTATTTAAACCAGAAGATCCGCATGACAGCTTGGAAACTAGAATTTTCGCTGATATGTATAAAGTCCTTCTGTGACTATATGCATGCACTAGATGAGTAATGATGCTCTGTCCCTTTTTGGCAGTCATGGCACACTTAATACATGTGTGCAAAATCACAATGACCATTTTTAGACTAAATATCGGGTTACAAACATTATATAAAATGTAACATTAGCCAAAACTCTTCTGAGGGGGAGGAGCAGAACCTCTGATTCTATTACAGTTTAACCCTCACAGAGGTTTTTAAATTCTTCCCCATTTTCTTATATTTTTTCTTTGCCGTCTACCAATTTGCCCTTGGTTCATGTTCTGGTGAATACCACCACAGGCAGAATTGAGAGTAATCCTCCCCAGCTGGGGCAAAGACAGCTTGACAGAAGTTCTAACCTTTCCCATCCTATCCAAAATAAAGAACATTTGGGTTGGAATTGCATTATAAAAACTTGACAGAGGTTCTAAACTTTGTCGACTCAATCTAAAGCTAATTAAAAAAAGTTTGGCTTCAATTATACCTTTAAATGCAGGTGGCAAACAAAAAAAGAAAAAAACAAAAAAAGACATAAGAGACTACAGAGAGACAATATAATGCTATTTCAACAACACATTGCAAACTGTCAAAAAGTATATTAATACAAGCTATATTTACGCAAAATGGGACAGCTATTTGTACACATATGATATGCAACAGAACAGTCCTGCACAGCAAAGGAAATAGAGCAAGGCACAAATGGCACTTATCGTGCCATGTAACAAATAGTTGAATGGACATGGCAACCTTATCCAGAATCTGTATGTAAAAAATGTTAAAATTGAGAACCGCTATCATTGCACATGGCAGGGTTTTCCTGCTGCTAGTGCACCCTGTAGAAAGCATGGCTCACTATTCAGTAGCAGCTAATAGCAGCTTAATGTGGAACTCACAGGAAACGGTTTAGTTTTGAATAGAGAAAAAAAAGTGTCAATTTGTTTTTATTGCAGTGTCTCTACTGGGGAAACGTCTGCTGACTTCTGGGTTGGTCATCAGGACAGAACGTGACCAGAAGACAGAAAACTTTTTTTTTTTTTTATTAGGAGGGATTGGGTTTGTCAAATTTTTTTTTTACCACCCTCACTTCCTGTGTGATTGCTGGAACAGTAAGGAAAGACCTCACCAAAAGAGATAGAAATGGCAATAAAAACAAATATTTTAATTTATATTGAAAAAAAAATTAGTTGGGCTGGAGTTCTACTTTAAACAGTTAAGCATCCCTTAGCAAATATAGCTTCCTGCAGAAGGAGCCATTACTGAAGCCTGATCATTTCAAAACCAGTACAACAAAGATTTCCAAGAATATAAAATATCACTGATTCTGGAGCACTTGTATAACAAGACACAAATGTGGGTGGAATCCTTTGCAAAGCTAGTCATAATTCAACTGCAATGAGATAGATTTGGGTCAGCACAAAAGGACTGAATCCCAGACTCCCTTTCACAAGTACAGTGGTACTTCTGTTCGCAAACAATTCGGTTCGCGAACAAGAAGTTCAGCAAAATTTTGCTTCTGTTCGCGAACTCCGCATCGGGTGACGAACACAACCGCAGCCACCTTCCCTGCTCTGACACATGGTTGTGGCTTCCTCTAGTCGAGATCGCCGTCTGAGCACAGTTTGATTCGGGTCGCGACCAGAATCGTGGAACGAATTAAGTTCGCGAACCGAGGAACCACTGTATATATTGGAGATGTCAAACTCTTACATTTCCCAATTATTTATACCATAAATTTCGAAAATTCATTGGGGAGTGTAACACTACCATCTGACTTTTTAATGACTACATCAGTTGTGGAACAGGGAACTTTGATGAAGATATTTAGCTACTAGGACAGAGTCAGCACCTTCGGGAGGCAGTGCTTTCCAAAAAGTGATTATTTTCCTCCTATACAGGTCCTTATAGCATTTCCTATTATACCTTCCACAGCAAGGGTGCCTACCCATTACAGTTACAGTGCTTGCCAGATCCTTCTAGTCAGTGTCTGGTGCCAGCTCTGCACAGAAGCACTTGGGAAACATAGGCAACCACTGTACACATCAATCTGTCAGCAGCCATGCAATATCCGTTTTGGGTGGGATTAAAAAGTTTAGTTTTGCCTATAAAAGTTGTCCATTTGCAACACATATACGCACGCACTGTGAATAGTCTCTAAATACCATATTCACACACATTCATACATATATACACACACAGACACACACACAGTGGAGAGTCTCTAAAAACAAAACTAAAATGAAAATTCCAGACTTGAGTACATAGTGAGTCCCAGGATGCACAGCCATTCCCCCTAATATTACAGTGGCACTTAGAAACCACAGTTACAGCTAACAGTGGCTGGTGAGACTAACAGTTCTAGGACAGGGTGAAAAGAGGCATAAGCTCAGTGGGTGGCAACATGAGGTGTGATCTTTTTCCGCCTTTTCTGGAGCAGAGGGTTAGAGGCATCTTCTATTTTCTTTATTTTAATTTGTTCATAGTCAACCCTCATTGTGGCCAGTGCACTGGTCATTTCCTCCTGCAATTGAAAAAAAGAAATATGAGAAAAAAAAAAAAAATAGTTCATGTAAGTAACATCCCTGGCCAATAAGAGGATGAATACTTTGTCGTTTGCCTCTAGGCTGTGTCTAGAAATCCAAGTACATTATTCCTCTGGCCGCTGAGACAGGGTATAAACCCCTGTCCCACTGCTCACTATTAGTTGTGTCATCGGCAGTTTCCTAAGATTAGGACTGACTTGTAGAAACTTACTATGCTCATATGGAACTAATGTTAATGAAGCACTACAAGGCCTCAAGGAGCAAGTGGGCGACTACTGAAAAATAGAGTCTATAAAACAGATATGCTTTTATTACAAAAAAACAAAAACCCCACTGCCTTTACAGGGAAAACAGGCAAACATTGTTTCAAGAAAATTCTCACCTTAACATCTTCCCACAAATCCTTCTCTTCTTTTAATACCCGGCTGGTGTGTAATGGAGTTGGTGGCACTTGCATGGATTGCTGTTTAAAAAAAAAAAAACGACACTGAACTGCATGTCCTCTGGGTTTCATGATATAAGCATAATGGACAATGATGTATTCCCCAGCAAGTCTAAACTGGAACTTTAAAATGTAAGAATAATAATTACGAACTACAAATATTACAGTTCCGTTACATTCATAACTTGTCAACTCTACTGCTTCCTATGTTGCCATATCAGAACCAAGATGACAAGCTGTACCTGTACATTTGGGCCAGCTTAAAATGGTTTTAATCTGATTTTAGGCCATATGGGACCAAAAATAGACACTAGGAAAATATGAGATGTTGCTTTGAAAATGACAGGGAATACATATAGTGTTTGAGTATATTCTTTAATATGTCGACTTAAAAAAAAAAAAAAATTATTTTATTGTTAAGCCTTTGTAAACTCTAGCCTCAATTTCCCGTTCTTAGCTGACAGGAGTGGTACTCGGTGTGGTCTTCTGCTGATGTAGCCCATCAACTTCAAGGTATAACATGTTGTACATTCAGAGATGCTCTTCTGCATACCTCGGTTGTAAAGAGTGGTTATTTAACCACTTCCAGTAGGTTCACGTAAATGTACATCCTCCGCTGGAAGTGGTTATACCACGAACATGGTTGCTGCTGCTGCAGCTGTGTTCTTGGTACCGCTTTAAACAGCCGGTGATTGCTGTTTAAATACAAGCAATCCGGTGTCTATACAGGCGCCGGAACGCTTGTACGGTGCGGCCCCATGTCGTTGTCCCCTGCCCTCCGGTGCTGCCCTCGGCTTCCGGGCTCCACTGTCCCTCGTGTGAGCCTGGGACGGGCAAGGAGAGTCTCCCCTGACAGATCGGAGGAGAGATCAAAGTCACTTAAAATCACCTTTCTTCTCCATTCTGTTGATTGGTTTGAACTTCAGCAGATCTTGACCATGTCCACAAGACTATTTGCATCGAGTTGCTGCCATGTGATTGGCTGATTAGATATTTGCGCTAGCAAGCAGTTGAACATGTACACCTAATTAAAATGGCCAGTGAGCGCGCACAGATACAGACAGACACACACCTCCCTGCTCGTTGAACAGAGGTGATGATGCAGATTTATTGGATTTATTGTCTAGTGAGTAGACTGGAAGGGTGATGCCAGAGAATTCAGCTAATATTCCATAAAGTATTAGAATGTAATTGCACTCCTATTTTGCAGTATGCCCTCCTGAACACCACACAGTCGCTTTTCCAAAACTTTTGAGCCGGGATTGTTCATTCTCATTCAATCTTATGGAGAGCTCCGATACACAAGCTGGCACTCTGGATTCACATTCATTTAACACACCCTGCCAAAGGTCGATCTGATCACACTGCCCCAGGGTCACTGTAGAGTTCATCTTCAATGTCCTGGAACAACCTGCTACCATTCTCCCTACACTACTGGCACTAGATTATTGCCTCCCATTTAATATGAATGCACACCTTCCAATATTCTCATGATACAATGATCAGGAGCTGTACTTTACATGCTTACTACAGTTCATGGTTACATCCACTGCTCCCTCTGGTAAAACCATAAGGTCACGGAATGATGTAATAATGTAACAGCTGTAGTAGGACACTGATAAACTGCAGTGCCCGACTAGCATGGCAGTATTCCACAGATGCTGCCTTTACACCGACTTATGGGCTATTGGATTATGAGGTGAACCACTATAATATGCCCACTGCAGTATTACCCTGTTGATGAACAAGCACATACAGTGGGGCAAAAAAAGTATTTAGTCAGCCACCAATTGTGCATGTTCTCCCACTTAAAAAGATGAGAGGCCTGTAATTGGCATCACAGGTAGACCTCAACTATGAGAGACAAAATGAGAAAACAAATCCAGACAAATCACATTGGCTGATTTGGAACAAATTTATTTGCAAATTATGGTGGAAAATAAGTATTTGGTCACCTACAAACAAGCAAGAGTTCTGGCTCTCACAGACCTGTACCTTCTTCTTTAAGAGGCTCCTCTGTCCTGCACTCATTACCTGTATCAAGTTTGAACTTGTTATCAGTATAAAAGACACCTGTCCACAACCTCAAACAGTCACACTCCAAACTCCACTATGGTGAAGACCAAAGAGCTGTCGAAGGACACCAGAAACAAAATTGTAGACCTGCACCAGGCTGGGAAGACTGAATCTGCAATAGGCAAGC